TCATTGTAATGGAAATGGTCACAGTCATGGTCATGGTTCTGTCAAGTTCATGTCATGGCCATCATATGGTCACGGTCATCTCAAGGTCATGGTTGTGGCATGGTCATGTCATGGTCATGGTCATCTCGTGATCATCTTGTGGTCATCTTATGATCATGATCCTGTCATGGTCTTGATCCTGTCATGGTCATGTTGTGGTTATCTCACGGTCATGGTCATCTTATAGTCATGGTCATCTCATGGTCATCTCAGAATCACCTCATGGTCACAATGGTCTCATGGCCATGGTTGTGTTGTGGTCATCTCATGGTCATCTCTTTGTCACAATCATCTCATTCTCATAGTTGCCTCATGATCATTTCATGGTCATTGTTGTATCAAGGCCATGGTCATCTCTTGCTCATCTCGTGGTCTTAATGACCCCATGGCCATGGTTAAGTCATGGTCACCTCATGGTCATCTCATGGTCATCTCATGACCTTGATCACATCATGGCTGTGTCATGGTCATGAAATGCTCATGGTCATCTCGTGGTTATCTTATAGCCACAGTCATAGTCATGTCATGGTCATGGTCATTGTCATTTCCTGAGCACCGTTATCTCATGTTCATTGTCATCTCCTGATCACAGTCATCTCATGCTCATGCTCATGGTCCTCTCATGGTCACGATCTCATGCTCATGGCTGTGTCGTGGTCATCTGATGATCACAGTCCTCTCATGGTCATGATCATCTCATGGGCATGGTCACAGTCATGGTCATCTCATGGTCATCGTCATCTCATGATTGTCTCCTGGTCAACTCATGGCCACAATCATATCATGGTCATCTCATGGTCATGGTTGTGTCATGTCACAGTCATGATCATCACACGGTCACGGTCACCTCACGATAGTCTCATGGTCAACTCATGGCCACAATCATATCATGGTTATGCCAGGATCATAGCTCATCATCATGACTCATCTCATGGTCATCATCATGGCCATCTCATGGTCACAGTCATGGCCATCTCATGGTCATCATCATGGCCATCTCATGGTCATGAGTAGCAATGGGGAACGAAGACACACGGACTTCCTTGCTTGCTTCAAAGATCCTTTATTGTAACCAACCGAGCCTTTTTCTACTTGAAACCGAGCCTTTTTCTACTTGAAACCTAACCCAAAATTAACCAAACTTAACCAAACCTAACCCAAACTTAATCCAAACAAAACCAAACGTAACCCAAACTTAACCAAACCTGATCCAAACTTAATCCAAACTTAACAAAACTTAACTAAACCAAACCAAGCACACATTGGCTGCCGGCCACTGCGGTATTGCTGTTGATGTGTCCCTTTAACCAATCAGCTCTCTGACTGTGTGGTGGCCACGCATCTCCCCAGCCAATCACTGCCTCACCCATGAGATGACCACCGGCCCACTCTTGGACCATCTGACCTGCAGCTGAACCCTTCCCAGAGTGCTTTTTGGGGAACAAAAGTGAACGGAAGTGACCAGGATTTAACAAAGGTGGAAAAGGTCCTTATTCTGTAAGGGTTTTCTTATTTCCCACGGTTATGGTCATCACCATCATCTTATGGTCATGGTCATCTCATGGTCATCTTACAGTCACCTCATGGTCACAATCATCTCACAGCCATGGTTGTGTCATGATCATCTCATGGTCTTGATCACCACACAGCCATGGTGTGGTGTGGTCACCTCTTGGTCACCTCTTAGTCAAGATTGTGTCATGGTCACAGCCAAGGTCATCTCAAGGCCTTCATCATTTCATGGCCATGGTGGTGTCATGGTTATCTCATGATCATATCATCGTCATGATCATCTTATGGTCATCTTGTGGTCACAGTCATTTCCTGATCACCATCATTTTATGCTCATGGTCATCTCACTGTAATGGCCATCTCATGATCATGTCATTGTCACCTCATGGTCATCTCATGTCCACAATCACGTCAGGGTCACCTCAAGGCCATGGCTGTCCCATGGTCATCTCTTGGTCCAAATCATCTCATGGTCAGAGTTATGGTTGTGTCATGGTCATGGTCATCTCCTGGTCATGGTCACAGCCATGGTCACGGCCATGGTCACAGTCATGGTCATCCCATGGTCATGGTCATCTCAGGGTTGTGTCACTCATGGTCACTCTCATCTCACAGTCATCTTGTGCTCGTGTCATGGCTGTGGTCATGGCCAGGGAACCTCTCTGTGATCCCAAGTACCAATTTTGAGACACTCAAGGACACTTGGGGACAGCGAGGCCTGGTCTGACCCCTCCCCCCATCCCACTGCCCCTCCATGAGCCCGATGTGGCCAAACCCTCCTGGAGACACCTTAGACATGGGACATGGAGAGGGAAATGAATCCTGGGGAATGGAGCTGGGCGTGGCTGGCAAGTCCCCACCTTTCTCCTGGTGTCCCTGTCCCAGTCCTGATGTCCCTAACTTCTCCTGGTGTCCTTATTCCCATTTTTGGTGCCCCATCCTGGTCCTGCTGTCCCCACCCCAGTTCCTGGTGTCCCCATTCCCATTCCTGCTGTTCCCATCCCTGTCCCCAGTGTCCCCACTCCCACTCCAGGCTCCCAGAGAGGAACTGCCGGACACTGGAGGAGGAACCCGTATTTCTTGCCCCAAGCATGATTTCTTGCCCCAAGCAGGGTAATTTCACACCAGAACTAAAGCATCAGGAATATTTGTGGGTTTTGGCTCTAAAACATTGGTGTCATGGGGTGACTTTACCTTTAAGATAGCTTTGGGAGCTAAGGAAGTTGAAGCTGCTGGTGGCTGATGGGAGTTTTTTCTCCTGACCAATTATCGATCATTTCTAAGAATTGACAGCAGTTTTGACCATTGAAAAGTGAGATCAACTTGTGAACACCGCCTTAAGACATAAAGCCAGAGCTTTCTTGTTCCCTTTGGGTTTCCGGTCTCTGACAAGGTAACAGGGCTCTGTCTCAGCCTCCTTCCCCCACCTCCAGACCGGACAAGGCTGCAGAGGGTGGTGGGGGTTGGAAGGGAGAAACGGAGCTTGCCAGCCTGGCTTGGTTTGCAGTTTCTGCTGCTGGATTGAAACCTGACACCATCAACATCTGCAGCTTTCCAAGACTTTAATTCTTTTACTACCTGGATAAAACATACAGATTACTCCTTTTTCGCAGAGAGACAGAGAGAGAGAGAGAGAGAGACAGTCAACATGAAGAAGACATCATAAAACCATCAAAGACAGTGAAGAAAAGTTAAGTTTTAGATGGGGAAGAGAGAATAAGGAGATGCTTTATAAGCTGAAATATTTTTCTGTTAAAGCTATGGAGATGGACAATAGTTTTCTGAAAAAAACCTCCTTTAATTCATGACAGAGTATATTGGGAGGAATGGAGTGTTCAAAGTGTGGATTTTGAGCTAAAAGTAGAGTAATTGTGATACAGTGAAGTGCTGGAACAGAGTGGAGCGAAGATTTGAGGCCTTGAGGGCAAGGAGAAAACTGTTTCCAGAAAAGCTCACAGAGACAGATGAAGAGGACTTCTATTACATCCCTAGACTCATGACCTATAACACACCTCAGAATGATGTGAAATGGGAGGAGTGAACTGATGGCAGATTTCTGGGCAGCTGGCATCAGAGAAATAGAAAACTATAATAGAAATAGTTTTCTCATGAGAAACTCCATAGATTAGCAGAAGAAGACTTCTGTTTCTCTACAAAGACTGATGAAAAGACTCTAGCAGGAATTGGGACTGTTTTAACCACCAAAGTTCCAAAGTTTTTTGTCTCTATGTTGTCATGTGAACAAGGGAATGGTGGGTAGTGGGGGATAAAAGGGTTTTCTAGAGGTTTATTCTGGTGTTCTTATTCTTGTAGTTTTGTTAATAAACTTTCTTTATTCCTTTTAAGTTTTAAGCCTGTTGTGCTCTTGCTCTAATCCATATCTCACAGCAAGAAATAAGTAAGTTTTCTAGTATTTTTTTAGATACTGCTTTAAAACCACGACATTTATTTGGTGCATTGGCCGGGAAAACGAAATTGGCAAATCTAAACCACTACAATTGGAAAACAGGAAATCGATCTGTTAGCAAGAGCTGTGGGGTGGGTGGCAGCAGTGGGATGAGCTCTGCTGGCAGCTCTAGGCTTTCCTGGGAAGAGGGAAAGGGTCGGATCCAGCTCCATGGATCGCTCCGGTGGTGATTCTCGCCAGGGTGAGAGAGGGTCACGGTGTCACCCTGTCCCTGTCCCCATTCCACAGGATAGACCTGGCTGGAGCCCATGGGGAGCAGGAGCTGCTCCAGAATCGACCTGATCCCACCCCAATCCTGCTTCATCCATTCTGCACCAATCCTGCTCCATCCATCCCACGTGATCCTGCCACATCCATCCGGTTCCAATCCCTCTCTGGAATACCAAACTGATCCTGCCCCAATCCTCCCATAATCCTGCTCCATCCATCCCAACTGATCCCACCCCAGTCCTGCTCCATCCATCCCATCTGATCCCATACTGAAATCCCTTCCTGATTCCACTCCATCCATCATCCATCCATCATCCATCCATCTATCCATCCATCCATCCATCCATCCATCCATCCATCCATTCATCCATCCATCCATCCCAGCCAATCCTGCCATATCCACCCTACCCCAATCCCTCTTGGGAATCCCAACCTGATCCTGCTCCATCCATCCCAACTAATCCCACACTGGAATCCTGTCTTGATCCAGAATCCCACCTGATCCTGCCCCAATCCTGCTCCATTCCATCCCACCTGATCCTGCTCCAGAATCCAGCACCCATCCCTCTCAACAATTCCATCTGATCCTGCTCTGGATCCCTGCTCTGATCCAGAATCCCTCCCTGATCCCAGTCCATCCATCCGCCCGATCCCCCTCTGGAATCCTACCCCAATCCTGCTCCAAAAATGTGGTTCAGCCATTCATTTCCATGTCCCTTCCTGCAGAAAGAAAAGATCCATGAGATTCCAGCATGGATCACACACCGGGATTAACCCACCCATGGGATGTACAAAGAGGGGATTCAGAGCTGGATCCACCACTGGAACTCACCAGCTGGCAGGTTGTATCCATTCCTGTCCCTCCTCCCTGTGGAAAAACAGTGGGATCAGTGTGGGTGGTGGCATTCCCAGAACGGTGCTGGGTGGATCTGTGCTCCTTCCTGACCCCCATCCCGTGTGTTACCAGATTGGAGCCTCCAGACACCGAATCCAATGAGGACAAGGACGAGGACGGCAGCGATGACGGACACAGTGATCACCATGTCGAGATTCCCACCATATGTCGGCTCTGGGAAACGCGGGATAGTGAGGAGGGGAGGCGGCATCCCCATTCCAGAATTCCAAAATCCTCAATTCCCACATTCCCAGCCTCACCCCAAGTGAAGATCCCAGGTTCCAGCATTCCGGGATGCTCCACCTGGCACCGGTACTGCTCCCACTCCTCCGGCAGTGCCTCGATCCTGGCCCAGGTATGGAAGGTGCCGTCGCTGTTGGGAACGATCCCACCCCACTCCATCTTCTGATCCCGGATTTCACTTCCCTTCATCCAGCTGACCGCAGTGGTGTTGGGATAGAATCCGTACACGTGGCAGGATAGAATCAGTGTCCCATGTTCCTCTTTTCTGGACACATGGACGTCAGGGACCACTGGAATGGGATAATGGTGGAACTCATGCATGGAATTCCATGGGAATGGGATGGGGGTGAGATCTGACCATGGAATTCCATGGGAATGGGATGGGGGAAATATCTGCCGATGGAATTCCATGGGAATGAGACTGGGTGAGATCTGTCCATGGAATTCCATGTGAATGGAATTGGGTAAGATCTGCCCATGGAATTCCATGGGAATGGGATGGGGGTGAGATGTGACCATGGAATTCTGTGGGAATGGGATGATGGAGATATCCGCCCATGGAATTCCCACTGGAATGGGACGGTGGAGATATCTGCCCATGGAATTCCCACAGGAATTATCACGTTCCCAAGTCCTCCATTCCCAAATCCCAAATTCCCACCTACCTTTGTGCTCCAGCTCTTTCTGCCCATATCCAACGTATTTCTAGAGCCATTCTGGGCAGACGTGTTTCAGGTAATTCTCCAGCCCCTCAGCCACATTCCCTTTTTCTTCCCAGATTCTCCGGGTGATCTCAGCAGCGTCGTCGGCCGCTACGAAGCTCTCGGATGCCAGCTCGAAGGAGATGAAATCTCACCCGTCTTAGCCCTCCCGCTGGGAGCCATGGATGCTCCCATCGGCCAGGAGGTCACAGCCGTAAAGCCACTGTGAGGTGTGGAGACCTGGGGGGATTGTACCCACAGAGACACATGGAATTGTGTCCCAGCCCCACAGATCCCATCCCAGCCCCATGGATCCATGTCCCAAAGCCATGGATCTCCATTCCCACCCTACAGATCCCATCCCAGCTCCACGGATCCCTGTCCCAAAGTCATGAACCCCCATTCCATTTCCACAGGTCCCATCCCAGCCCCATGGATCTCCATCCAAGCCCTACAGCATCCATTCCAGCTCCATGGATCCATGTCCCAAAGTCATGGATCCCATTCCCACCCCACATAGATCCCAGCTCTACGGATCCTATCCTAGCCCCCAGGATCCCATCACAGCCCTACAGATCTCCATTCCAGCCCCACAATTCCCATTCCCACCCCACAGTTTCCATCCCAGCCCCACAGATGCCCCCACTCACCCCTGCTCTGGTTGTACCGGTGCCGCAGCATCTCCAGGCCCTCCGCACCCACATGCTGGTTCACCTGACAGATCTGGGTCACTGTATCCCAATATCCCGGCTCAGCTCCATCCTCCATCCATCAGGGGCTCAGGGGGTTCCAGGGTTATGGAAGGGGGGTGCAGGGACTGGGAGAGGTGGGGTGGGGGTTCCAGCAGGTCCCTGTGCCCAGGAAAGGGGGTCCAGGTGTCCCCAGTGTCAAGGAAAGGGGTCACGAGGTGGGGAGACCTGGGATGGCTGGAATGGGGGGCTTGGTGCCCCCTTGGTCTCCTTGATGCAGAGGAAAGGGGGGAGGTGAGAGCTGAGAAAAGCAGGACTGGGTGTCTGGGGGGTCTCAGGGTGAAGGAAAAAGGGGGGTCTGGGAACTGGGAAAGGCGGGATGAATGGGAAAGGGAGGAATTGGTACAGGATAAGGGAGTGCAGGGGTGGGGTCCCAGTGCTCGGGACTGGAAACTCAGGGGGCGTCCCAGGGACCAGAACCCCCTCTGGGACCCTACACGACACCCCAGGGACCCTCCCGGATCCCCTGGGACCCCCATAGAGGATGAGCAGGGGGTGAAGAACTGTGGGGATGCAGAGACTGGGGGGTCAGGAAGCGGAACCAGGAGAGCCGGGAATGGTCCAAGGTTCAAGGAAGGGGCTGGGAGAGGCGTGATGGGGGATCCAGGGGGTCCCTGTGCCCACGAAAGGGGGTTCAGGGGTCCCTGGGGTTGAGGAGAGCGGGGTCTGGGAGCTGGGAAAGGCAGGAATGGGGGTCCAGGGGGTTCCTGGGTGACGGGAAAGGGGGGCTGGGGCAGGGAGAGGCAGGCGGATCCCGGGGATGCAGTTTGGGAGACGCGAAAGTGAGACAGGAGGAATGGGAAATTCCAGGGAATTCATCTTGTAATAAATGGAATTGATTTGTGCTGACTAAATTGTAACTATTCAGAAAGCTATTATTTGAAGCAATCAAAAGAATCAGTGTTACGAGGCAGATGTACCCCTTTACAGATGTTACATGTTAAAATTGAGGTACAGAATGTAGTTTGGAAAATAAGTGATGTCTCAAGGCTAAAACGGCCTTGAGATGGACAAAATTAGAATGATTTTAGGCATTGGGCCTGAAAATCAGAAAATATCAGACTAATTAGTAGACTAACGTAACACAATGCTTAGTATGCACACACGAACCTGTAAGGTTATCCAAAGGACAACGAGGAAGAGGAGAAGCCTTCGCCAAAAGACCCCCAAAAGAAGACTGAAGACCCCCTAACAACAAGTGAGGCATGCGCCATGAGGTAAAGTGACGTCAAGTCAGAAAAATTGGAAATAGGAGGAAACTTACAGGAAACAGTAATGAATATGTATAGGCATACGGTATATAAGTTTAGCTTGAAGTGATTTGTTTGTACGTGGGGCAGGGTGGGGAACCCCCCCCCGTTTCGGGGTGATAAACCCTCTGTGTAGCCCGGTTGGTATTGTTTATGCTTTAATCATACTTAATTACGGGCAGATTATATATATATATAAATTGTAATTTCTTGCTGAATTATGTTCTTTTACTAAACTGTATTCTTTTATACCAAATGACTATTCAATTTGCGAAATTGCATTCATTTTTGATTAAACTGCCATTAACCCAAGGGACCTAGTTGTCAAAATTGTAATTTCATTGATAACAACCGGAGAGGCGGCGGCGGAGCTCGGAGGCGGCCCCAGCCATCGCAGGTGGGAGCCGCGCTCGGTTCTGCGGGGGTTCGGGGCTCG